TTTATTTGTAGTATTTTATCATCACAAAAAAAAAAAATGAATCATAGAAGTTGAGTTTTGAGAGTCCAATTTTCTTATCTTAAATTTTTAGGGCCTTGCTACAGGTACAGGAATTCAAAATTCCTGTACCTGCCAGGAAACACACAATAGGGGGTGGGGGGGAGTTCTGGCAATTTTTTAATCACATGGGGGGCCCACCCCATGTGAGAGAAAGTTTGAATTCCAGTAGAAATTCATCCTGTACTTGGAGCATTTTTCAAATTTTTATTCTAAACTTTATTTTCTATTGTTTTTAAACTTATCAAATCCTCCCAACAAATTGGTATCAAATATTACTTATAAGATGTTTCAGAATAACATACATTGTACGTTCAACTCTAACTAGTATTTTGAAAATATCAATTAGTTCTCATTCGATGGATTAGATACGTAGAACCGTTCGAACCAACTTATTCCTTTTTTTTTTAGGTCAATGCAGGCGACGCACATATCACAGCTGCCACATCCTAATCATATAGAAAAAACAATTCTGGAAATTTACAATTCCAAATACAGTAATTTGTTATACACTCTTCTAATACTGATAGAGACTACCCGAGCTGTCATTCATTATCCAATTCTATATCTTAGTTTTAGTCACAACTGAATGGAACATATTTCAAGTGTCAAACCACACACTTAAGTATAAGATTCAACTGGCTTGCAATGGCGGTATTGAATGCTTCAACATTATACCAACTTCATTACAATATATAGGGAAGATGAAGTCATTACTTGCATCACCATATCATCTGATAATATGTATTTAAATAAGTAGATTAATTTCAAGTATTAAATTTTTACATGTCATATAGTTGAACGGATATCGAAATATATCAAATTTAAGTCTCATTGTCACCTCGTTTATAAAAATTACGTGTGCATGTCTATCAAATTATTTAAATAGATGTCTTTATTTTTCTCTTCGATGGTTAACTTTTTAATTGAGTTGATTCAACATGGTATATGATATATATCCACTTGCTTAACCAAGACCAAAGTGTCATATATCAATTCTTATTTAATTACTACTTATTTTCTCTTAAAAAATAACATTTGTTGGAAAAATATGTGTGTGTGAGACATATTTTCTAGTGTTTATTAAATTGGCATCATAATTTATTTAGTTGATTTTTAATTTCGAAAAGGGTGGTGTGGAATAAATGCACCGATGAAACTTATATTCGTGAGTGATCGAAGGACTAGTTAAGATTCACTACTGAACTCCATCTTTCAGTGAATTCATATGCATGTCCAAACCTACACTACAACAAAGTTTTCCTTTATACGACATACATGTGCATGACATATAAAGTCATGCCGTAAATATTCATATCTTTTTACGACACGTAACCATACACTACAACAAAATTTACATTTTTCCCACATGTGCATGCCATATAAAGTCATGCCGTAAATACTTATATATTTTTTACAACATGCATTACATGCCTTGAAAAAAGGCATAGCACGCCATTAATAAACTTTTTACAACGTGCTTCTTGCACGTCATAAAAAAGATGTTATTTTTTAGGGAAAATTGCGGCCGTGGTTCCAAACCTTTCATTTTGTTGCAGATTACACCCAAACCTTTTATTTTTGCGGTCGAAGTCCCAAACATTTATATGTAGTTGCAGCGTCGGTCCCAAGCCTTTAATTCCGTCCATAAAACCGTCAGTCAACATTTCAACTGTAATTTTGACTCGAAAAAATTGCAACGCTGGTCCCAAACC